AGTTTGGTATCCTCACCACACATAGCATTTACACTGGTTAATTTTTGCTTCAAAAGGTAGGTTCCTGTATTTTATTTCAATATAAAAATAATGCAGAAGGGCAAACAAGGTACAATTTAAGGTTACAGAATGCAAGACTAGGATAATCATTAAAAAGTACATTCTCTGAATTTTTTATACTGAAGAGGGTATGATTACTGTTTGAGAGAGTTCTTAAAGTTCTAATCAGTGCAATAATTAAGAGAAAAAAAGTAGGGGTATAACATAGGAACAGAAATGTACAAAAGTATCACTATTTGCAGACAATCTGCACTATAAGAAAATCCAAGACAATCAAAAAAAAAATTGTGAGGTATTGTAAAAGAATTTCCATTTGGCCAGTTACAAACCTTGCAAGATAAACACCTTTCCTATAAACCATCAATAACTAGTTTTTAAAAAACACAATGAAAAAAATCTCATTTCCAATGAGATATTAAATAGATAGAAAAAATCTCCCCAAAAGTGTATATCAGTGAGGGGACATAAAGGAATAAAGGAAGAAACAGACTAGGCTCCTGAACAGAAGACTGGCTATTGAAAAAACATCAATTTCTCCAGAACTAACATGTAAATTTAATACAATTCCAATAGAAACCCCAATGGAAGATTTTCCAAAGTAAAAAAAAAGTATTTAAAAGTTCAGTGTTTGGAGTGGGGAGAACAAGAATATCCCAGTCATTTTTTGAAAGAGTGATAATATAGGATTTGTAGCAGATGTAAATGTATTATAAGGCAATAATAATTAAAATTGTGTGCTGTTATAATACAAATTGCCCAACAGCTCAGTGGGATGATACAGCAATGCCTAGAATCAGACCAATACAAAATAACCAATACCACTATAGAAAAAAGTAGGTTAAGAGTGTCAAAGCTATTAAAGCTTTTAATGTTAAAAAAAAAAAAAAGCATAAAGCTCTTTTAGAAAAGAAATTTTTAAAAATAGTCAACCCGAACAGTGATCAAAGAAAGGCAAATTAAAACAATGAGATACTACTTTAAAAAAAAGAAAAAAACTATCAAATTGACTTTTTAGTTTTAATATTAATGCCTAGTGTTGGCCAGCACAAGAAACTTCTGATACATTGCTGCTAAGACTGAAACAATATGAACAATCTTCCTAGGAACAATTAGCAATATGCTAATATACTTTTCCAAGCAAGCCCACTTCTGACAATATAACCAAAGGAAAATAAGAGATATGTTTAAAGGGCCAGCCCGGTGGCGCACTGGAGAGTGCGCTGCTTGGGAGCACAGCGGCCCTCCCGCCGAGGGTTCGGATCCCATGTGGAGACCAGTTCCCGCTCACTAGCTGAGCGCGGTGCGGGCGCAACACAGAGGGTTGCGATCCCGTTACCGGTCAGTAAAAAAGGAAAAAAAAAAAAAGATATGTTTAAAGATTTACCTACGAAGATGTTTTTCCAAGCGGGCGCAACACCGAGGGTTGCGATCCCGTTACCGGTCAGTAAAAAAGGAAAAAAAAAAAAAGATATGTTTAAAGATTTACCTACGAAGATGTTTTTCCAAGTTTTATACCAAAAATTTTACAACAAACTAAATGTATGACAGTAGGGGGTAGATAAATTATGATAAAGCCATAAGACTTTCAGTAGAACATTTAACAAAATGTTAAAAAAAACTAAGTGGAAAAAAATAAGTGAAAAAAGTTTTAAAACAGTACTACAATAGGATTTCAATTTTGGTTTGAATAGATATAAACAATTAAAATTGCATATATGATTAAAAGGGTATATCCAAAATATTAACAGTATGGTAGACTTATAATTGGTTACTTTCATGTATTTCTTATGTAATTGGATGACAGTAATAAATATTAACTTTTTAAAAACCAAGATTCTGTGACTATGCTACCACTAGGATTGTGGCAAATATCTGATCTTTGCTAAAGGCATGAACTTTCTTATTACTCAGTAAAAAAATGACTGATATGCTAACCAAGTTTTAGAACTGCATTCAGGAGTTTCACCTGTTTCAATAAGTTTCAAGTCTATACCAGCCTGTCTTCTATGGAATTCCAGAATCTTGGCAGTGATTAAGAGAACATTCATCATTTATTGCTCAAGCAATGTTTTAACATTTTCATGTGTTAAAGCTTTGCTTCAAAAAGAGTGTAAGCAAATCAAGAGGAGTGACCCCACACCATATCGCCCAAATGCTGAAACCCAGGCACACTGTTGGGTGCTTCATGAGTAAACATCACATTTAACCGAATTAAATTCCAGAAGACTAGCCAACTACAACTTCGAACCTAAATAAAATATATATTATTGCAATAGTTTCTTTTAAACATTTTGGATGTTCCAAGCTCTGAACCAATATTAACTCCACTCTTATTAACTGGTGGCTGGTTCCAGGAATACAGGAATAAGGATTTCCAATTAGTCACAGGCAGGTAAGAAGTAGCATTCAAAAACAACCTTAAAAATTAAAAGAACTGAAGATTCGGCATGACCCCAAAACAAAGAAATGATACTTGTTTGAGGTAATGGATATACCAATTACTCTGACTTGATCTTACACATTATATACATATATCAAAAAATCACATGTATCTCAAAAATATGTACATTATATGTCAGTTAAAAAGTTAATCCATTTTTTTAAATTAAGAGAAATTCCCCTGTTCATTGCAGCATTATTCACAATAGTGAAGATATTAGAACAACCTAAGTGTTAATCAACGAATGAATGAATAAAGGAATTGTGGTACATGCACGCACACACACACACACACACATGCATACATACAATGAAATGTTATTCATCCTTAAAAAAGAAGAAAATTTTGCCATTTGCAACAATGTGGATGAACTTGGAGGACATCATACTGAGTGAAATAAGCCAAACACAGAAAGAAAAGTACTGCTGTTTTAGTTCTTAAGGCCATCAGTATATCCTTCTCTAGAATTCTGATTCCTCTTCTCATGATCTCACTTATATGTTGACAGATTTGGATGTGTTGTCCCCACCAAAGCTCATGTGGAAATCTGATCCCCATTGTGGCAGTGCTGGAAGCTGTTTGAGTCATGGGGGTGGATCCTTCATGAATTGGTTAATACTCTCCCCAGGGGTGGGGGTTCTGAGTGAGCTCTTTCTCTATTAGTTTCCAGGAGAGCTGGTTGTTTAAAAGACCCTGGCACTGCCTCTCTCTCTTGCTTCCTCTCACCATGTGATCTGCTTGTACCCACCGGCTGCCTGCCACTTTCAGCCATGAGTAGAAGCAGCCTGAGGCCCATGCCAGATGCAGCTGTCCTAGAATTGTAAGCCAAATAAACCTCTGTTCTTCATAAATTACTCAGTTTCAGGTATTTCTGTTATAGCAACACAAAAATGGACTAATATATAAGTGACTCTAAAAAAGTCAAATTCACATAAGCAGAAGTAGATAGAATGCTGGTTACCTGTGGGGAGGTGGGGAATGGGGAGAAGTTGGTCAAAGGGTATAAAGTTTCAGTTACGTAGGATGAATAAGTTCTAGAAATCTAATGTACAGCCAGGGACTATGGTTAATAATACCATATTGTATACTTAAAATTTGCTGAGAGGAGATCTCAAATGTTTTCACCTTTAATACCTATGACATTACTATGTTCCTAATTTAAAGTCTTTTCACCCTTTTCAGTAATTGGGCTAAAATATACATCTAAAAGATTAGGGAAAAAGTGTATAAATGCAGTTCTTGACATATTTATAGTTATGTTTCCCTTCACTAAATGGCCCTACCTGGACAACTATGCTGTTTTAGTTCTTACACCTGGCTCTCACTTCTTGAGACACCAGAAATCAGATTATCTAGCTTATAAGAATTGTTTATAAACTAAAAGTAGGCAATGAGAAAAGTGTTCAAGCAACTCTGTAGAAGATTGCCAAAAGTCATCGGCCCTTGAATGGTCTATTTTAGTGGCTTTCAAAGGCTTTTTATTTTCTTCCCCAGTTCCTTCCATGCCTGACCATGTTCCAGAGACCTGAAGTTGATGGATCATTTAAATGATATAATTAATCTTCATAACGTCTAGTGGAATTCTGAGATATAAATGTAATTAAACATATTTCTCAACATTACACTTTGATTCATAAACTTATTATTGCCTCTGCTATTAACCTTCTCTTCTCTATTAATAATATTATAATAAAAGATATCATGTATGAAATTCCTTTATGGAATGTCATAATAGAATTCCAGGCACCATGCTATGCACTTTACATATATTATTTATAATCCTACCACAACTCTGTTTAGAATAAATAGAATAATCATCATTTCCTGAATAAGAAAACAGAGAAGAAAATTAGGAGTTAAGTAATAAGTACCCTAATATCCCACAGCCAGGAAGTACTAGAGCTGAGATTCAAATCTCGGTCCATCTGACTCCAAACCCCACCCTCTTTCTATTCTGCAGGCACTTTCTCATTATGTTGCATTTACTGAACATCAGCTCTTTGAGACTATTACATTTCTTTTCTCTAATAAAGACTAGGACTATATTTCTTTATCATTACAACTCAGGTCTCCCAATCAAACTTGATATGCTTCTACCAGCTGTGTTAAAAATCCATTGAAGAAACAATGCAAAGCACTGCAGGAATAATACTTGATCACAAATAAAGCATAATGTTTACTTACATTTTAATGAGTATGTCATAATGACACAACTTTTTGCTAATTTTACATACGTCTACACCATAGCACATTTGAAGAGAATAAGAATGACGCATTTGACTGAGCTGTTAGATCCTGAGGTCAGGATCTCATATATATCATATATCTCTATATATCCAAGGCCTATATGTGGTAAACATCCAACACCAAATTGTTGATGAAAGATAGAATAAATGATTATCAACTTCTGAAAGTAATAAGATACCTAAAACATTTTTTGAACAGAAAAAAAGACTCCATGTTTCCAAAAATGTTTTTAGTCTGCAGATAAACTTCCTACCTCTCGATCCTTGAGTTTCATAGCAAGCACCAATTGATGCCTGTGGTTAGTGAGAGCCTCCCGGTAATTTCCTTTGGAGAAGAATGCGGAGCCCAGATTCCCGTGAGCTCGGCATTCTCCTGTCTGGTCACCTGAATTGGATTTAAAAAAAAAAAAGATAAAATGTCTCTAAGTTATAGCATTTTTTATAATACATAATAGTCACCTTAATTTAAGAACCAAAGATTTACTAACTAATATTTCACTTACCTTCTTTTAAAAAAGCATTTGCTTCTTCCACAAGACCCTATGTTGGGAGTTATGGTCCTGGAACTTAAATCTCTGGACAACTGTTATTATTGTTATAACATACAACTGCAGTCGGGGATTTAGGTGTCCTGGAAATGAGAGGTTAAAGACCTTGACATGAACCAGCTGCTATTTGAGTCTCCTCATTGCTCTGCTAATGACCTTGGACTCTGAACAGCCATTAGCTTATTGGTTCAGTAATTTGACTCCACACCTACTATAATATATTGCTTCTTTAGATGTATTTTGAAGTAGATTCACCATATCCTTTCTCTTACTGCAATACTGTAAGTCCTTGGATAATCACTGTAATGACAATCATAATTATAAGCCATACTCATTTTGCAAATGAGGAAACTGAGCATATAGAGTTTAGGAAACTTGCCTGAAGTCACATAGCTAGTAAGTGGCAGAGCCAGGATTCTAAACCCAGTAATCTGGCTCCAAAGTACACACTCTTACCCACTGCACTATAATATTTCCTCCAACAAAATGATGATGCATTCTAATAGAAGCAAAAATTAAAATTAAGAGGAAAGATTCACCCACCAAAACTATCATTTGGTTTATTACATTTGTGAACACAAATTTCTGAGGAGGGCAATGAGTATATAAATCCACATCTCTTGGTCTTTTGGGAGACATGATGCCTTGTTATATGAAAAGCAGAGTACTCTAAAACAGAGAATGTTCTGGAGACACACTCACTTTTCATTGCATATGTTACTCCCATTCATATCAGGTTAATCAATTTTGTTTATTTACTTTCTGCACTGAAATAAAGGAGAGAAGCATAAATCTACCTAAGGTCTTGGCTACATCCAAGTCCTGCTGCATGTATCCAGTGCTCTTCTCTGTGTTTCCAAGAGACCAGTAAGCACTGCTCAGGGCAGAGAAAACAGAACCTCTCAGTTTGAGGCTGCAGGTGCCAATCTTCAGAGCAGCTTCTAAGACAACCACAGAGGCCCCATGATGGCCAGCCGTCAGGAGTTCTTGCCCAACCACAGACACGACCACAAAGGGACTTTTGTCCAGTTTCATTTTCTGAAGCTGCTGATAAGTGGGCTCGAGGGAGTCTGAAGAAAAACAAAAGAAAACAGGAAAACATAGGATGATACACAAAACAATCTTTTCTAATATGTTGTAGAAACAAATGTTTATCAAACCTTTTTTACGGCCTATTTCAACTATAAACTCATCAATCTCTAATCTAGTACCTACCTAACTGTCCACATATCCTATATATCTAGTAAGACTAACTTCAGTCCAGTACTTTCCTTCTCCTCACACTTGTATGCATACGTTGCACTCATCCTTTCTTTTGGTCTTTCTTTAATCAAGATGCACCACTTTCCCTGAATGTTTCCCCTCCTCTGTCCTGCCGCCCTCTCAAAATATTACACATCCTTTAAGTCCCACCACTACTGCACAGTATGCAGAGGTCCTGCAGCCCACATTAATCATTGTATCCAAACTTGTGCTGCATATTTGCAGTTATGTAGTTTGACCATTAAATATTTTAGAATTGTTCCACATGTGTTAATTTTTAAAGCATTTTCCCAGCTAAACCTGAGGACCACTGTAGGACCATTTAATAATTTATTATAACTCCATAGCAATTGGCACAGCATGGACACTCAATAAAAAACTCACCATTGCCTCATAGATGAAAGTCCCTAACATGTCTGGCATTCAATAAATGTTTCTTAAACCTAAATTTAACAGTAATTGATTAATAAACTCTGTCCATATTTTTCCCTAGAAGATGCGATAAAGGAAGCTCTTCCAACAAAATACCTGCTATTCTCACTGGTAACCCAATGTCCACTGCTGCTTCCAACACCAGTGTGCACAAATAATTTTTTTTAAATGATCAGTTTTTCTTGCAATCACAAATAAAACCATAAAGAAATCATCCGAGTTTACTAAGATAAGATAGAAGACAAAATTAACATTAATCTCATTTTATTTTCATGTGGTATTTGGATAGGACATAGATTAGGGGTCAGTAAGCCACAGGAGAGTCTTTCCTTTTGAAATGAAGTTTGTAGATGACCTCCAAGCTCCTCCTCCCCCTTCTCCCTTTTTTTTTCTTTAAAGACAATTGCAGAGCTATTTACTATAGTCATATGAGATGGCACTTAAAACATATTTATTGTTAGCTTTTCTGAAAAACTATTTCATGTTAGTTGTTCTACCTATGTACATGTTAAAAACTATAAAAGGGCTGGTCTCTTTAAATCTTGAAACTCCTAGTCAACAGTACTGCATTAAAACGTAATTTTTACAATTTATGACTTAGAATCTCAACTCTCCACTAAGGAGCTCTCAACTGAATCAACATTTCCAGGGAAATCTTGAAACCTATTGGTGCCTAAAGCATTTTTCCCCTTCAATCAGATCACTAAACAGAAAACAAAGAACATTTTTACACCTGTCAAGATGCAAGCAGTTCATAGTACCAGTGAATATTAGCTAACCAATAGGTTGAATACGGGCACAAGAATCCAGGAAGTGCTAGAATAGAAAAGAATAATACCACACTAAAATACTGTGAGCAGAATCTTGGTGGTGCTCACTGAAGGGTTTGGCAACCAATGATGGATCACATCAGCATCTCACTGGCCAATGAGCAGAAACAAAAACAATAGAATTTTAGAGCTAAAAAGACTTTGAAGATACCTCATTTTAGAAACAAGGAATCCGAGTATTTAAGTGATCCACCCAAAGTCAGACAGCTTGGGACAGAGCCAAGACAAGAATCTACTGCATGGCTCTAAATCCAGACTCTATGACACCATACCAGGCAAGATTTTTAGTTGCTAGTAACAGAAACCAATCGTGGCTGCTTTTAAGTAGAAAAGAAACTCACTGAGTGACTACTGGGAAGGATGGAAAACCAGGCCTCCATACCCATAGTCAAATTCATGCCACAAAAAGCTGCCTGATGAAAGCAGCATAACCATTGCAACTAAATACAGGAGGCCACAGCTTGCAATGCTGTCCCTACCACCACTGAATGCCTCCCTTGGAAATGGATGTCACTGTTGCCATTGCCACCCACCACCACCAGAACAAATTCTGTGCTATCCTTTCTTCTCTCAACCTTTAGGTCCTAATTCAAAGGTGGGGTTCCAGCTGCAAAGGAAGATGGAGAATTAGAATCTGACATTTTCAGCTTTTATAGTAGAAGGCAGGAGGCAGAAGTATAAGATGGGGAATTCCCAAAACACAGGAAGAGTGTTCAGACACTGGCAGCCCAAAATTGGCAATGGTCAGCAAAGATACTATGCTTCAGTTGGTGATGTTTTTTCCCCATAGTAACCATGGCTAAGTTAGAAAAAGAGCCATCTAACTGAGACTCTAATTACACAACAATAGTAGAAAGAAGAGAGAATTTGCCACAGTAAGAGGGCTGAAGCAAATATCTAGAAGGTTCTCAAAAGAAACAGAAATCTTCAATTGTGCAAATTTTCACTGAATAAAAATGAAATTAAAGAGATGAGAAGTAAAATCAAATTTCCACTTGCAGTATATAGAAAAGAGAATATAAACGCATTAAAAGATAAATTATAATGCAAAGATAAATATAAAGCTAATATACAACACATGTTATAAGAGTTTGGAAAAGGGAGTGACTATCAAGGGCAATCAGAAAGCTTCATGGAAGCAAAACTTGATTTACTGAAGAAAGGGGAGGACTTAGACAAGTCTTTGCTTTTTTTCTGAGAGTGAAAGGTATTTCATGTCCTAAATAAAGCTGACAAGAGAAGATAGGTACATGGAATGTCAGGGAAAGCTAAACAGGCCAGCTTGAATTGACCAGAGAATATTTGCAGGGACAAAAGCTGATGTGGAATCATGAAGAAAACAATGAGCCACAGATAAAAAGACCTATATTTCAAAACCACATAGTCTCAGTCTCCTCATTTTGTCAAATGTACAGATTGTAACCGTGGTGATGGTTATACAAATCTATACATGTATGTTTGTACAAATTTGTGTATATATGTGAGGGTACTTCAAAAAGTTCAGAAAAAAAATGGAATTGAAATATAATAAGAGTCATCCCATGAACTTCTTGAAGACCACTCATACATATATGTCCATATGTGCAAATACACACATATAGGTATATGTATGTGTCTATGTACATATATATGTGCATCTATACCTGTGTGCAGATATATACAAAAAATATCCATTTCACTGTATGTAAATTTTTTTTTTAATTTAATGTCAAATTTCTGTTTTGGGCTGTAATTATGTCTCATTGGTCTGCACCCACTAATCAGAAGCTCTAGTTAACAGCTGTACATGTGCTTCTGTTGAATAAAAGTGATAAGATAGGATTTTTTTAATGTATACATGATCTCTAAGATTCTTTCCAACTCTATTATTCTAATTCCTATTCTAAAGTGAACTTAGGCTATTAGAAAAGGGGCTAATTCTGTGATTTTATCATGCTAGGTGGGACAGTTTTGGCAGCACTATTACGTTTTTCTTCCTAGAATGTATGCATAATACATGAAATAGCCAATATCAAACCAACTCCATATAAATATAAAGGCCCTTTGCAACACTGAGTATCAACTGTTATGTGTTTTCTAAATGTAAAGGCTTTACGAAACTCAGATGAACAAAGTCACATGTCCTAACACTTGAAGAGCTTGTAGGAATGTAGTACAGGCTAACAATAAACAATCACACTCAGCTAAAATATATTTCACACTCAGCTAAGATATATACTGTATTTCATCACTTATGAGATGCACATTTATTCACATATTAACATCTCTGAATTTCAGATTTAATATCTCTAAACTCAATGGTGCCGCTCAATGGTTTGTCACTTCTATATCTAAATAGTCCTAAAAGAGCTCTTTCAGTATATAGAAAATAAAAAGTTAAGTGATAAGAAAGGATCATGTCATCATTTAATCATTAATGTTTTCTTCTTTCTTAGTAATATATAAAACAATGACACGACTTTCAATCCAGAGTTCTTACAATTGGTAAAATATGCTATGGAATCCCAAAGGAGAAAGGTGGTAACTCTACGAGGGTAGCTCTGGGAAGGCTTCCAGAGGAAGTGATATCTTAATAGAAATTGGCTAGAAGAAACCACAGTATTTTAGAAGAAACCACAGTATTTTCCAGGAACTGCAGATAGCTTTAGTAGGGAGTATCTGGAGATAAGAATGAAAGAGAAGCAATGTCTCTCATACTAAGGCCCAAGAGAAACTTCTCCAGTGAGTGCTCATACAGAGGACCTTGTGTACTGTGAAGAGCTCATTCCATATCCACAAAAATATGCCTGCCGTAAACACAAAAGCATGATTAATATTGCTGCTACTTTCACTCCTTGTGAGAAGAAGGGCATCACACTACAGAGGAGAAGATATTGATACTTACAGGGGCCTGCCTTTACATTCTGGTGCTTGACTCTCAAAACAACATTAGGAGATGGGTATTATAATTTCCCTCTAGAGATAAGGACCTATGTGTGGAGAAAGCAAGCAACCTTGCTCAGTCAATGGACTAGAAAATGGCAGTGCTGGAATTAGATTCCAATCTTTTGGGGAAAAGAACCTAAGTTTTTAATATAATATTTTAGAAGCAGACCCCCTTTGAAAGTGACTACCACCTAAAAGAGAATCAAAGGAAAAGAGTTCACCAAGGGTGGACAATTAGGCAAAGAAAAGGCGAGCCAACTTGACCCTGAGAGAAATGTTTATACATTAAACAGCCATTTTCCATCAGCACTTCATAAGGTCAGGTTCCCTGAATCCCCTGGAGCTGACAGAAAAACCACAACAGGTGACAGCCCATAAATGTAACAGCCTTTACATTACCGAATTAATGATAGGAGAGAAAATATACACAAGAGAACCCTCAGCAAGGAGCAGCCCTGGTGTCTTCAGAGGAAATAACAAAAGGTAAACGCCATTTCACTTTTTAATTATGTTATTAAGTCCTTGGTTGGCAGTCAGAATATGCTACAACATCCAATTTTACTTAAACATTTATAAGACACAATGAATTGAAATTGCTGAAAGACTATCGAAAAAGAAGAAATGGAAAATAGTAAAAGGATAAATTGAGAAATCATATAAAAGAGAGTATCAATTTATATTTATACTTATTTTTATATTTTCATTAATGATTTAAGGAAAATATATTTATAATAATGTAAATATATCCAGAGTAGAAATGGTTTAACTGATACCTGGTTTGTGAGCACAAGCAAAACTATGAAATTAAAGTAAAACAGATTTAATTCAGTTAGAAATATAGACAACAATAATAAAAAATCAAATGAGTTTCAACATCAATAAATATAGTGTATTTATACAGGAACAAGGGTACATTGATGTAGATTGGCCCTGCCTTAAGAAAAAATGAGGGCCGGCCCGGTGGTGCACTGGAGAGTGTGCCACTTGGGAGCGCGGCGGCGCTCCCGCCAAGGGTTCGGATCCCATGTGGAGACCAGTTCCCGCTCACTGGCTGAGCGCGGTGCGGGTGCAACACCGAGGGTTGCGATCCCGTTGCCGGTCAGTAAAAAAAAAAAAAAAGACAAAAAAAAAAGAAAAAAATGAAACCTTGAACCTTCTAAAAAGATCAAAGCACAGGAATGCTGTGCAGGTCATAGTTTTCTTTGTTTATAGAAGCACCTGTACTAGGGCGTTTTCTCCATTGCATTTAAGAATTACGAAACAAAAACAATTGACACAAGAGATCAGACCTATATGTAAAGTAACACAGACTACACAGCTATTCAATAATGGCAGAAACTTAGAAAGTTACAGTAGACTAAAATAAACAGTGGGTAAAAAATGGGCTGCAAAATGACAGATTCTGTGAATTACAACCATATGACAAAAAGAGAGGTCATTAAGATGTGGGATGATGCAAAGAACAACACTGTGCAAAGCAACAGTCTTTATAAAATGTTGATAAGAGAAGCCCACCTGGAATAGAGACAGTGGTAAAATACAGTGGTAACGGCAATGCTAAAAATAAACTAGATAAGTTAAATTGCCCTAACGGAAGAGAAGACATACTGAAGCACTCCAGGCACCTGCAAAAAGCAGCTTTCTCCAGGATCGGCCTTAGGTCACTCACTATAAGATGGGAAAGAACATGGCATAGAAAACCCTAATAGTGACAGTAGCTCTGAGTTATTTCTCACTGTGAAGGGAAGATTTCCTTACATATAGCTACAGAAATTGCTTCAAAGGCAAAATTGTAAGTAGGAGCCTGCTTATCTCAACACACTCACTCCATATTCTAAGGCAACAGCAGAAACACCTCAGAATAAAGAGGTGATATCTTCATGAACTAAATAAAAAACGTTCCATGTAAATTCCTTGTACAGGGGTGTAGAGAGAGAAGAAGAAAATAGCAGGAAAATGGAAAAGAGAGACAGGTTGATTTTTCTGTTGTTCTTGTCCATTCTCCACCTCCCGCCCCCCCTACCTTCCTCACCCCCGCCCCCAAGCCCTGGAGGGCCAAAGCACATCTGCTCTAAATCAGAGTTTATTAACAGCAGGTTCCCTAGTGGGAGAAGCCATTAGATTCCTGCAGCAAAGCCTCAGCTTTGTAGGGATTATACAATCACATGAAGAGAGGTTTTCTTACCACTTTTTTTCCTATAACATGAAATCTCTAACTTTCAGGAAAATATTTTTTATAGCTATGAATTATCCAGAGACCACATAAGTGCTATTTAGTTCATCAGACTTTTATTTAGCATGTACTTTGAGCCAAATACAATACTAGCCAGTATACTAAAACTATCTAATGCTGCAAACATTTTCAAAACTAGATAAAATGTCAAATGGTACTTCATCAAAAATTTTAGGGCCATCCTCCCATATGAAAAATTCAAAAACATATCATTTCAGAGTCAAAAACAGAGGTCTGCTTGACATAACCTAATTAATATGAAACATTATTAGCTATCTACCATTTGCCATGAATCTGCCTTAGTGTCTCCATCACTCTCCAGTGATAACAACTGTTCTACACTTTCAAATTTTCCCAAAAGCTTGTTCCTCAAAAATCAATGTTCTTCAAAATGAAGGCAATCTGTTTTGGCCCTTAGAACTCCTCCAACTTCCACAGTACTATTTTCAATCCATTCTCTTGTTTTTCCAGAATACTTTTGTTATAAGATAGAAGTAAGAACAGGGAGTATAAATGTAAATGAGTGCCTAATTTGTTTCTATCTCCTTTAAATTCAACATAATCTTTTGGTAAAGGGACATGAAAATCAACTACATTGTATATTGATAAAAGAAAAAAAGAATAAATTAAATTTTTTTATTTTAACATTTATTTGTACATTTATAACATAACCTTTTCATGCACCTCTGAAAAATGTTAAACACAGTTAGATACATATTTCCTTTTATGAAATATAAGAAAATCTAATGTCTTCTCTTATTTGATTATTTCCCAGCAAATCTATTTACTACTAGAGGTGTTGTAGTTAAAATTATAGAATCTCAGAACTACAAAAAAAATAGAGATTATTTAAATAACCCTAAAATCCAGAGAAACCAATTTGTATACTTAAGGTCATACAATTAGTTAATGAAAAATTTAAGAATATAATCTAGGTCCATAAACTTCCAGGTCAGTGGCCTTTCCACCACACTATTCTACCTCATTAATGTCAGTTACTGACAGTGATTCTTGATCTTCCTTTTTCTAAAATATATCATCTTAGCAATTCTCTGTACCTGAGCCTAAAGTCTTGGAAGGCTAGAAATGCTCTACTTTTAATTAATGTCAGACCAAGTACTTGTATCATATTACCTCTCATGGGAGATTTCATGGCGGCCTCTACCATCCCCACCAGAAGCTGGAGACTCTTGGGGTCTTGAGCCAGTCCAGATGCAAAGGCTGCCAGGGCATCGGCATGACGTCCAAGGTACTGGAGGGCAACACCCTGTCGGAAGTATGCCTGGAAATAGAAGAAAGATAAAACATGTTTTACTTATTACACTGTGCTCCAACAGGGCTTATGGTGATTCTCTACAAGAACAACAGACAGGCAGAACTAAGATGAGATGTCCTTCATTCAAAAACCTGGTAAACAGTTCACAATATTTACTGATTTCTTCAAAATGAATTGATTTCCTCTAACATCATAAAATGTAAGCATACGTTAAGGCAACTTATATTTAAAACTTTCACTCTGTTCACTTCTAGGACACTTACTAATTTTATCATGTTCTTTGACATTTATTCATATACTGCTTTTACTGTTTTTTGATGATTTAAAAAACATTTGTTATCCCACTTTTAATTCCATAAGCTCCTCAAGGACAGGGATTTGGAGATTTCTTTATATCTCACCAAAGTATCCAGTACTGTGCAAGATAAATGAGATACTCAAATTCCACTTATTTTATATTTTCCCCCTTATATAATTAAAAGTGTGATTACTGTTAAGATAATTTTTAAAATGAGTAATATAACATGGCTACATACTTTAAATGTGGTGTTTCAAACACAATATTTAAAAGCAGTTATCTAAAATATGTGTACTCTGCTTAGAAACAAAAAAAGATTTTTGTTCTTTGTATTCATTAATTAGATTAATTTCAAAACTAGTATTATCATCTGTGATTAAAGGAAAACATTCCTCCTTCCAGCTAACTGCAAAAAGGACCATAGAATTAATAAAATATTTAAATTTAGAATTTAAATATTTAAATTTTAGAATATTTTAAGGAAGTGCAGTTTGTTTTCAAGTACACAGAGCAAAACCAAGTAAAAGGACAATACGTTACTACTATGTAACCAGCAAAGGAACTTGTACCTACTTAAATAATATATTAAAATAACACACTATTAATGCTTGCATTGCTTATATAACATCTGCTTCTAAAATACTTGGCCCCTTATTCAATTTAAAGACTCTTATGATACTGTTTATAACACAAACTTAGCTTTTCTCAGTCCAATATACTTAGAAATTATCATAATGTGGACTATCTCTTAAAACTACTACTCAATAAACTTAACACATAATTTTATAGTTTTATACTACACATGCATACGCAAAGAGCGAGAAGGAGCACCTTTCATGTTTACAAAATATATTTACTTACCTTATCTTATTTCATTTTTATAATGACTCTTTGAAGTAATTTAAGATAGACAACACTATTCAGTGTTTCTATTAAGAAACAATCCATAAACAGAATGAATACTCAAATTATTATGGGCTATTCAGGTTTCTATTACACTTTAAATGACCAGCAGCTGTTAAAACTCAGACCCCAGTAAGACAATAACCTGCAAATGCACTTTCATCACTAATTCATAAGATCACTTCCTCTCACTGGACTCAGCCACTGTTTTAATCTTTAATGTGTTTAAAGACACTTTTCATTACCCTTTTCATTTCACATTTTAGGTGGTTTCTATAATCAAAGAGATAATATACAGTACATTCCAACTAAAACTAGCTAGCTTATTACATAAGTCTAGAAATGCTATATTATATATATTAAAAAATATGTATGAGAGTACCTTTAGAAGTTCATGGGAAAAATGGAATTAAAAGATAATACGAATCTTTCCATGACCTTTTTGAAGACCCCCATATGTTTATTTATATATGTATATATATAAATATGCTAAATACTTGTAAACTGTAATTATTATTTATGGAGGGAGACAAAAAATGTCTAAATGTCTGTAGTTATTAATTTCAGGTATGTGTTGTAAGAAACACAAAAATCTTAAACTAGTCTCAATGAATTTTGATAACTTCTTGCATATTTAAAGCAAAACTTTGTCATTAATTACTTCACTGAGAGAGCAACTCGTTTCCCTGTCTGCTAAGTAAAATCACTGAAAAGTATGATTTATCTACTTCTTAGGAAGAGGGCAAAGTTCATGTTAAAGGCCAGCTACAGTCTCAAGTTCACACAGCAGCTCAAGAAGATTATGCACATTTTGTTTTCTTAGGGTACTCAGAAATTAGATGAGAAAAGGTAAGGCTGAACCATGCCTCCCACAATCTTGGCTTCCTCTCTTCAGGGAAGATTTTTAGAAGAGGTATAGGAGAGAAGCCTCAAAGGTCTTTCTTGGCCCTCCCTTAGGCCCTTCCTGAATGCCCATCCAACTTTTTAAAATTTTATCAGTCAAAAGCTTAGGGTTGTATCCTTATCAAGATAGCATTGTAAGTCAAGCTCTGACAAACCCCTGCTCCAAACTCATAGAGTGGAGCTCGCCCACTTTTTTTCCATGCAATATTTATTGCATGTACAAATAGCTGTTAAATAAAAATTAGTTGTCTATACTCTTGTGAGAGATATGCCACTATGGAGTTCAAGCTAATGATGATAAAACCCAGACTGTGGGTTATTGTGACAGAATAAAGAGAATTTGGTATAGTACCTGGCACAGAGTAAGTACTAAATAAAGTTAGATATTTTCATTGTTAGTTAATGAAAAAAGAATTTTAATAAGAACACATAATTACAGACTAACAATACAAGGAATGTCCAATAAATATTTTAAATATTTTAGTATTCAATATATTATTCAATTGCTATCACTGCTTCATTCACTCTTCCCCTTGCTCCGTAAAAGACTGTTAGCAAGTAGGTAACTACATAATTGAGACCTCTCACTGCTGTAAGGCTCCCAGACAAAATCTACACCACCTAACTAAAAGAAATTGGAATTATCAAGTCTTGGGAGATATGGTAGCCACCCACAGGATCTCTGCCAGCCTCCTCCAAAGCAAAGTTCAAAATGTGCTGAGATTCACAACTGTTTATTATAGCTTCAAGAAAATTGATGTGACCTGCAATAACCTGTTTCTCCACTTACTGGTTCCTGCTGCTAATGTTTCTCTTACCATTACAGGTTTCACAGCAAGCTGCTTCATCTGAGAGATGGGCAAATTTTAATCACTTAAGATCAAGCACAGGCAGTGTACGTGTAGCAAGCCAAGGGAAGTGGAGGCCTATTGAGATAGGAGGTGCTCAGTCTCCCTGGGCTCAGGTTATAGGACACACCTCTGGGTTTCAAGCCATTCCCCAAGGTTTCAGGCTCTTCCTCTAGGCCCTCCCCTAGAAGAAGGTTACTGTTACTAGTTAGACCTATTTTGGGCACTAACATAGGGAAAATGAGACCAAAAGGGGCTGGCTTATGCAAATCTAGTGGCTGGGCATGCTCAGTAGAGAAGAGTTTTATAAGCTTGGTAGCTGAATGACCTTCCACTAGGGGTGCTAAAGAGCACAGACTATTCCTGAATGTGCCTGGTGCATGTGATAGAATTTGACCAATGAACATGCTCCAAGAAGAGACTAACTAAGCATGTGCATGATTATGTTACATAACTGGGAGCCACCCCCTTAGCTGAATATTCATTACATAGTGAAACTGTAAAAGCCAAATCCCAGCAGAAAGCGGGATTGTTGCTCACCTTCCTGGGACCAACCTGCACTTCACTGGCTGAGGTGTGTATGCTTTCTTTTGCATCAAACTTACTTTCAGCAAGCGGCTGCTTGCTCTCTTGAGCCAGCCTGCACTCTGTTCTGAACTTTAAGTGTGTATTTCTTACTTTTGTATTAAACTTGGTGCAGGCCCTGCTCAGTCTTTGGAGCTAGGCCGCACTTTCTCTGTGAAAACCTGTATTGCTTATCTGTTACATTAAACCCATTCTCACTTTCTACTGTGACTCTGTTCTTGAATTCTTTCCTGTGGCGGAGTCAAGAACCTGCTAAGAGGACGTGGTGGGTTGGGGCTGGCCATCAGCCCCCCACACCCTACCTCCGACATCAGTACGCAGCAATGCTGAATACTTGATGCCCAGTCAACTTCAGATCATATATACCCTTGTTTCACAAACCCACCACCCATACACCACATTCTGGTCACTGATTATGCAGCAGATGTAGAAGGAAGGGCAACATGGATTAAATATTAAGAAGACCTATACTCTGTGAACAATGGTTTTAAGCTGCTAAGCTGTAGTTAGAAAGAAGAGACACTTCAGGGAGCTAGTTAATACAGGGGACTAAATGTAGGATACCTAGATTTTCAAGTGTTACAAATTCATTCACTTATTTTTTTGTTGTTCACCACAAAGAATCCACAGTGATTATTCCATGCATACTACTAAATTGCCTCATAAATAATATAAAGACAGCTGGATTACAATCATTAAGTTTTCATTCCTTCCTTCCTTTAATTAACATTCCCTAAAAATCTACAGTGCCAGACACCGTGACACATAACACAAAGAAACAAAAACAGGACTTGCACCCTCAAGATGCTTACAGTCTAGAGGGGAAGAATATAAAAAGCTATAAATAAATTGACTGCTAGCTGCAGTAAATGCTAACTAATAGTAATTAATGCTTTAATAGTTCCAGCAGTAACAAAAATGTGACTAATGACTGAAGTATTTATGCCCTGTTGTTAAAATTGTTAGTATTATTAGCATTTGATTTTTACTAAGTGGACCAGAGAGTTAAAACAAAAACTAAAAGACTAAACATGTGAAACAGTAAACTATTCACCCTGCAAGTATCCCTGGAGGCAAAGAAGGGACTCTAAGTCTTTACTTTCAACACTCCATTCCTGGTTCACAATTCCAAAATGTCACTGAACTGTACAACCTAACACCCTACTCTCCCTTGGCTCAAACGAGTGATGAGATAAACTATTATGCTCACAGGTTCATGTGTATATTTATAACATAAAATATATAACAAATAGATGTAATATGAAATGATATATAGAATTAAGAGTGTAAACTCATATACACAATGAATAATCTATTATTTAGTTTAAGCTTTTGCAAATAAACTGCCTTTGATTTTGATTTAATCTATACTTCAAAATGTTATATTTTAAAACTCCTAATCTGTCTTTCACAGTTTGAATTTGAACGTTTTTATATCTTCTGAAGAATAACTATCAATAATTATAACATGGTCAACATGTACTTTCCACATTAGCACCATCTTTGTTCAACAATGTTTATAAATTGCATGACTTTTTACTGAATTTTTCCTTATTATTTTATTTTTAAAGTGAGTAGAAATGGAGAAAATAGAAATGCTGATTCTACTTTTTAAAAATCAGCAGCATTGGGCCGGCCCGGTGGCGCACTGCTACAGTGCGCCGCTTGGGAGCGCGGCACCGCTCCCGCCAAGGGTTCGGATCCCACATACAGACCGGCCGCTCACTGGCTGAGCGAGGAGCGGGGGCAACACCGAGGGTTGCGATCCCGTTGCCGGTCCCGGTCCGGTACGGGCGCGACACTGAGGGTTGCGATCCGTTGCCGGTCACAAAAGACAAAAAAAAAAAAAAAAAAATCAGCAGCATTGATTTATAATTCAACACAACAGGGTCAAAAATGAAAATGATTACAGGGTGCCAACACCAGAAAATCTTTAATATCACTGTATGTATACAAAACAACTATGTTCAGTTGTGAGAAAAAAAGGAGAAAATTAGAGAATATGTAAAAAATTATTCTAAAAGAAAAGACATGATCTGAGATTTTATTTTTTGGTTGTCAGAGAATTCACAATCCCCACTCACTGAACATGTCAATCTTTTGTTTGATATTTATATATTTGATGTTTTACATAATTGATTTTCACATGAGTATACTTTTTCAGGAATGTATTACAAGGATAAATAAAAGATTGCTTGTATTACTCAAAACAGATATATATCATATGAGCGAAATGTAAATATATACACATACCAACTAAAAAAGTTATATTTTACACATTATACATTATATCACTTCATGTGCACATAAAAATGAAGGTGCAGGATTCACATATTCAATAAGTTTTCACAGTCTTGCAACAAATAGACACCTGCATGGATATACACAAGCAAACTACGTTTGCTATGTATGTGTTTAATTTAGGACAAGGAAGAAATTATCCAGAACAGCACTGTCCCATACAACTTTCCACAATGATGGAAATATTCTCTGAACTATGTAATAACAGTAGCCTCTAGCCAGCCACATGTGGCCACTAAGCACTTGAAATGTGCCAAGTATGACTAAAACTAAATTATAAATTTTATTTCACTTTAATTACGAAATTTAAATAGCTACAAGTGGCTAGGAGCTACTGTGTTGGACAGTGCAGTTCTAGAGTTTGATCTTCCTCTAACAATAAACCTCAGAACACAAATCTAAATTGGGAGAAAGTGAAAGGGAGGAGAGATACAAAACAAATGTAATAACTAATACAAAACCTCTGAACTGAAGCTAGGTTTCAAGACAACTGTGGTAGAAAAGAAAGGACTCATAAGGCTGATATTGAAATCCTGTCCTAGTTACTTTTTAGCTGTGTATTCCTGGCCAAGTCACTCAACACCAAACTTCGTGTTCCATTTCCATTTACAGAGGGGATGATGATAACCTCAAAGGGTTGTAATGATGATTGCTAAGTGATATGAAATAGAAAACACAAAATAGGCACTTTTTAAAATATTGAACAGAAGTGAATCTCTCACTAATAAATGTTACTTTCAATTTGGCATTTGCTATTTAATCAGGTGGCTTACCTGCTTCACCAGTTCACACATTGAGTCACCTTTTGTAAAGTGGGTGAGGAGCTGACAAAAATTAGGCACAGCATAGAAACTGATGATGATAATGATTACCTTGAGTATTGAGGAAGTAGTTAACTTATGTTTGGAATCTTCTGTTTCAAAAGCCTGTAAAGTAGCTAATGTATTTGAGGGAAACTTTTCAATCAAAAGGTTTTTTTAATCTTTAAACTTTGGCAGTTGATTGGGCTTCAGTTATCTAATAAGTTCATTACTTGGAATAAACATTAAGGTCCTTTTGGCCTGGGTGGGGAAAAAAAAAAGATGTGGCAGAAAACGGAACACTAAAAATGTATCTGTAGGAACATGAAACACTCCTTCCTTTCAGAGATTTTATCCTGGTACATTGATTATTAGAATTATTATAGGGTTTTCTGAGGCCCAAGTCTGACACCTATTTTAGAATTTAAAAGGGCCCAGTATTGTCCAATCAGTCTTGCCATTATAAATTGTCCTAAGTTTTACTGCATATATACAGGTGTTTTATCTTCCCAAACTTTTTCTAAGTTACCATTTACACAGCTACTCTGTGCCAAACACTGTGCTGGGTATTTTCCATAGTTTATCACTAACCCTCACAATACCCTGCAAGAAATTCTTCTGATGACCATTGCTCAAAAGACATGGATACAAAACTTTCCCTATATCATACAGCTACAAAGTAAGACAAACCTGCTACCATACTCTCTCTTTCCACTATTCCATACCAGCTCTTTGATAAAAGAATTAATAATGTGCAATAAACTTCTGAATTGGCTTTTTGTCTGGGAATTCTTGTACTTGCAAAATTCAACCTATAGAGGCAGAAATGAAGGAAAATCAGAAATGACACAGAAAATTTATGAACATGAATATTTAATCTCTATTCCATTAGCAACCATTGATTGTAGAACAATTTTTAATGAATTGGATGGGGGGGAAATTCATTTCATTAACCTTTCATATAAATGTATTATTATTGAACAAAACAGGCCACTGTACTTGCAACTCAGTTCAATGACAATTAGATTACAGGCATGAGGCTTTAAATCAAAGAGAAACAAAAGGAGCCATCATCAAGCTTCTCAGCCAATGCTTGTTTGCTTGCTGGCTAAAATGGATTTTTACCTGAGATACAATTTGCTATGCTTCTTTTATCTTTTGATATTTTCAAGTAAATTTTCTGTTGCTTCCATTTGCTGACACTTTATATTAAAAATAAAATAAAAAACCTCGAGAATCAGCAAAGAACGTTTTTTTCATGTGGCAATGTGTATGTACTACCTGCTCAGCTGGGAGTAATCATTCCTGCCTCTCCAGAAAACTACACTTCTATTTTTTACTAGTCTGTCTTGTTGCATGCTAAAGCACATGCAAGAGATTGGGCTATATTTTAGAAAACATCATTATTTAGTTTGGAACCCAGCGTCAGAGGCCCAAGTGGCCAAAACAAAATGTTCTAGCCAAATCTGCAGCTGTGAATTGTTTTTCTCTCCAACATTAGCTTTTGATGCATTTAGAATCAATTTCTAAAGGAAATCTGCTCTCAATTCTGATTGTTTCATATCATACCAGCTATTTCTTTTCCCAAAATTAATTTTAAACTAATTGCATAAGAAGGTATTATTAAGATGACAAATTTATTAGAAAATCATATTTTAAAAAGGAATTACAAATTTGACAAGAAGTTAAAGAAAAGATGAAATGCCAACCAGGAATTAAATAAGTAGGTGTCATTTTCTAGCACTGGGGGGATTCCAAAGTTACAGTTTATGTCAGATTATAAAATGTGTGCACCATCACCTGGAGTTTCTCTTCTTAGCTTTAAAAATAAACAATGAGAGAAGCTTGAAGTCCTCAAGAGCAATGGTTCTGAACTTTCCATATCTTGTGCCTTCATTCTATGGGTGTGACATAGGAAATGTGTAATGTCATGCCAACAAGAAAACCAGGAAATTTCCTGAATATTCTCCAAGAAATCATCTGGCTTCAGCATGTTCTGTGTTCCCCTACCAATCCTCTCTCTACCCCAGAACACACTGAATGTGTGCTCTCACACACACACAGCCTGGTCCTGGGAAATGTTGGTAAGACCAGAAGCAAAATGTAAAAAAATAGTGGTGTACAGAGAGAATGGTGAATTAGGAAAAACACTGAAGCCAACCATGTGGAAATAAAAGTAGTCTGAATTCTCACTATTGAGAATAAAAACA